AGCGTGTTGACTAGGCGTGGTAGGGGTAGGAACTGTATTTTTGATGGGAAGCCTTTAAAATTTGGGTTGATGGCGTTAAGAATAGAAACAGGTGTTTAATTTCGTTTTATTTTTTCAGGTTTGAAAATAGAAGAGGCTATCATCGACAACATATATGAGGAAGGTGTATCTCCAGAAGGTTTTGGAGATTTACCTCGTAAAATGGCTGAACAACTATCGAATTCACGTAGTGATAATACAAACGTTAAATATTTATCCATATTTTAAAAAGTGGGGAAATTTCATTAAGGAAAAGGGAAGAAACTCTGTACCTGCGTCACCTATACACATAGCTTTATATTTGACTGATCTTTTGGATAAAATGAATTCGGCTAGTGTTATGTCAGCGACTGTATGTAGCATTAAATGGGCACATGGTTTAAAGGGACTTCCGGATCCCACTGACAATTTGTTTGTTAACAATTTATTAGAATCTGCGAAACGAACTCACGTTAAAGTAGTTAACAAAAAGGAGCCTTTAAATGCAGAAGTATTGATAAGCATTTGTAACGAATTTGAAAACTCAAGAGATATTTTATTTATAAGAGATCTATGTATGATTCTTTTAAGTTTTTCGGGTTTTCTGAGATTTGACGAACTTAGTTCACTGAAATGTAATGATGTAAAAAAAATTTTGAAGATTATATGTCTCTAAAAATTTCAAAATGTAAAACTGATCAATATCGTTTAGGTAGCGAAGTTGTTATTTCCAAAGGCAAGACCGTCGCATGTCCTTTTACCATGTTAAAACGGTATATGTTTATTACTAGAATAATATGTTTCTGATGATAAATTTTTATTTAGGCCTTGTTTTAGATCAGGAAGTAATTATAAAAGAATGAGCCGTTAAGATATACAAGGGGTAGAGAGTGCATTTTAGAAAGGTTACGTCCTTTTACGGGTAATTAAAATATTGGCTTGCACTCGCTTAGATCCGGTGGAGCTACTGTAGCTGCTAATGCCGGGGTAAATGAAAGATGTTGGAAGCGTCATGGTCGGTGGAAGTCCGATAGTAGTAAAGATGGCTATGTTGCGGATTCTTTGTCTAGACGACTTGAGGTTTCTAAGATGCTTCTTCTTTAATTGACTCGGAAACATATTAACGCTACGTGAACGTAAAGTCCTTAATTTTTAATGTCTACATGCTTGTCCGGCAAAGCATTTATGAGTTTGTTTTTATATTGGTCCTTTATTAAGGTTATTGTAAAGAGTGAAGGAAAGACTAAAATTGCACGCGTTTCGTTCAAGTATAGCGTGAAAATATTGTCTTAACGATGCGTATACACAATATGGTAATGGTCAGTTTTTGTAATGTATATAGTATCTGCACGTGTTATGCGTGCGGTATCGTGTTAGTATATATAAGGATTTTACAGTAGGTTTAACTCAATCACCGGACACTAGCGCATTGTTCAGTCGGTTTTATCCAATTTTTCTTTTAAGTATAATATTATGACTTAAGGTCAGGGATTGGATATCTATATTGATTATTTGCTGCAATTATTGAAAAAAAAATCTTTTTTAAGTTTATGTCGGGCATCATTTTACGCTATTGTAGACAAACACATGGAACTTAAATAATTATATTATCAATTTAAATTGATCAGATTGGTTTATGTTGCATTTTCTTTTTAATGTTATATTATATGTTTAATGTTCAGTTTAAAACAATGAGATAATAAGTAGGTTGCATCTATGTAAGAGTGAGTCCCAACACTCAGCGGTATGACATTTGACAAGTGGGAACAGGTTTTCAGAGTAAATGTTTTAAAAGTAAAAGTTTTTTGTCTCTGGTTTTTCCTGGGCGAGTCAACCGTGATCATTATGAAAGTATTGTGAATTTGTGAATGGTTTTGTATCATGAGAAATAACAATCATTTGTTGATTCATATGTCAATATTTTGTTGTCGAATGATGAGCCACGTTATCTAACAATTCATGCTTGTCCGGCTAAGCATTTATGAGTTTGTTTTTATATTGGTCCTTTATTGTAAAGAGTGAAGGAAAGACTGGAAAGTGCAAGTTACCGTCCACGCCCCGATGCACCGGCTTAAGCAGAATCCAACATTTAACACGAAAATGGTAAAATTTTGAGTTTAGAAACATCCGCAGACGTGTTCATGCGGCGGTTATCATGGAACCTTCAATGTGACACAGTACTGCAATTCCATGAAAAGCGAAGTATGTTCCCCAAGTAAAAGAATGTTTTTGCCCTAAACGAGAGAACAATGAGCGACTCTAAATAAAATGGAATTTTGAAAGTCAAAGTCGCATTAAACATTCAAATTTCAATTCAGAACAAATATGTTTTGCTTTAATGTTTTCTTAAAAAAGGGATAACAAAGATCCGCAAGGTAAAGACAACTTTCACATGTGGCAGTTCCAACAACCTCTTTTTAAATCTTCTTCTTTTGCTTATTTAAAGTTACTTTTGTAAATAAAAAAAACTTGCATATAACAAGCAAATTATAGGCAGGGAAAATATCCTAAGGGTGATTAAACAGTATTCAAATTTAGGAAAAGAACCAGAACTACAAAAAAAACATGCACTGACAACAATCATGTCGTGCTGAACGATCTCAAATGGGAAAATATAACATATTTAAGAAAGGAAATTTAGTTCGTCCTACAGATTGCTTGAGCAAATAAATAATAGTATGAAAGTTGTTTGTCACATTTTTGTTCTAAAACGTATTGCTGGTGTTATTTTAGCTTGAGTTTTCAAAGGAAATATGGTCAGGGTTATACTACTTATCCGGGTGTTGCCGAACACTTTGGTAAATTTTTGCATGAATATTCTTGATCGACAATTTATTTCATAAAGCAAAGATATTTGTTTGTCATTTGCACATGTCTATGAGATCCTCCATAAGAGGAAATATCTGCCAAATGCTAAATACTCTAGCATGCATTTTGATACATTTATAAGTCGTTGCTAACTTAGAACAATACTAGTTAAGGTAAAAAATGTAACCTAAATTGAAAACTGACTTATGCTCATTTGTGGTAACTTTTCAAAGTAATAACTCATTGCAATTTGTGAACTTCAGAATTTTCTGCAAAAGAAGACTTATGCAGTATCAATCTTAAAACATATTTAAGATATTCACTGGAAAATTGGGACATGTCTTTAGGGCCTCGTTTCTCTAAACGTCGCCTTTATTTGTACTTTATTCACTAGAACTGGTTCAAGTTTTGATTTGGACTTGATGAAATCTAATGTGAACTCAATGCAGCCTGTGATTTTTCTTGCAATTTTTTTTTAAAGTTTATTAAAAGTAAAATATATAATTGTGAAGTGAACGCCGAAAATAATTTACACATTGCAAATGGTACTTACGACCAATGTAAGAAGAGGTCACAATATGCAAAAACTTATGATAAATACTGCATAGTCAGTTATTTATGCTACATTTATTATTACTAATGTGTTGGATTATTTTACTTTACTTACTTTTAGTACATTTCTCTCAAGTTTGATATTTTTTAATATTTTGGTTCATCTGGAGGCATGCAGCTTAAAAGAAAATTTAACAGGTTTTCAAGCAGCATCGATTTTCAAATTTACTGAAAGTATTTGTTTGAACAAAAGCTCTTGATATTGATTTTGCCTTATTGATGACCCTTTATGAACATAGAAATTCCTTAATTAGAGTTTAGCATGTCATGAAAGGTTTTCGAAAAACATATCTGAATGTTTTCACTTGAAACCTATTATTTGTCTTCCGTTCCATAACTAGGAGTCATTATTATTCCGAAGACCATCAATCTGACTAAATAAAAACTAAATTTAATGGCCTTTTAAAAAAATATCAGTTTAAGTAAAGCATGCAAAACCAAGGTTCAGAGCGACTGAAAGTAAGTTTGACCTGAAACTTAATTCATGTCTTTTGAATAACAATTAATGGTCTTGATCCACGTTCTGTAACTCTAAAATGAAACTGTATATTATTAAATTTGTTCTTATTATTTTACTATTTACACATCCCGGCCCCCCTGTCACCGCCCTTGTGTCCTCTCCCGATTTTTAGTTATGTGCCTTCTAGGTGCCCTGCTGGCGTGTGTCGGGGGCTGCATTCTGTGAACGTCGCCTTGCCATGTTGATCTTTATTATCATTTTTTTCTTTTCAAATTTGATTTTGTATTAACCTTAATCATTATTCTCAAATAAGTATTGTGTTTAACATTAATCTTCAAAAAAAATGTCTCTGATAATAATTAGAAGTTATTATCCAAAAATATGTCACCGATCTGATTTACCTTTTCTACCTTTGTGACAGCAACAGCATTCAGACATAATGTCCTTTCTTGTTCGTCGCATCAATTTCGTTTAGCAATTTAATTTAAAATGTTAACACGTTTAATATGATAAACAAGATCAACAAGGAAAGGCAGGTTTAATGAACGCAACCCCCACATGACCCAGCAACAAGAACCACTGGCAAGGAGCCCAGGCGGACCCCAAACAAAAACAGGACAGGGCACAAGGCAGAGCACGGACAGGCTTATCACTAAAATGATAAAAAAAATGTAACTGATATTAAGCAATACAAAAAAAAAAAACAAATAAATGATTGAACAATAGGAAATAATTTGTAATTGATAAGGAATTAAAAAAAACTAATAATAAAATGACCGAAAAACAGGCCCGAAGGTGGTTTTAGTAACATTCTGTTTTGCATTAAAATAAGTCAGACATTATTTACTAACTCGTGACAAAGGACTCCTTGATAAGGTGAAATTTTAATTTAGGTTTACATCTAAAATTACTTAAACCATATCGCTATATCCAACCAAGTCTGATATTGCTTATAATTTACTGAATCCGATAAAATAAAGTTTTATATAGCAAACCATATGCTTAATAAAGATTTACGTATTTATCTACGTATAATATATTTCTATATAGAAATAACATGGAGAACAAACTGAACAAAAAGATGGTTAATAATTATACTAACCTTTGACAGAAACGTCAGTTTTTCCAAACTGGTCAAGTTGCTGGTTTCTATCTGTTATACCATTATTCACATGGCATATATATGTTCCACTATCTTGAAGCTGAAGTTTCTGAATGTTGATCACGCCATTAAAATTTCCTGGTAAATGTGTATTTGATATCTTAATTCTCCTCCATGTCTGCACCATCGATGTAAATGTATAGTTGGCTGGTCGTCCAGAAGCATGACAACTTATTTGTAAACTTTTGTTTTCTACAGGATCTGCTTCGCTTATAAGCACAGATACGTTTGGGGCATCTAAATAGATAATATAATAACACTGTATCAGACTTTGTATTTGTTTGCTAAGGATATCAAAAGGCAAATATATAGAGATAATATTGAAATCCCATTAACACTTTTACCGATTATTTAATTGAATTGTATACAATCACATAAAACAAAAATATTGTGGATAGTGAGTTTATCCTCGGAATGACATTCTATTTATATTTGGTAATTTACAAAACATTTAATATTTTATATTATTACCCCTCACTGTTTTCGTAAAGTTAATTGGGAGTTATTCTTACTGCTGATGCAAGTGTACCATGTGACTTACACGTTTGAACTGTTTTATAGGTTACCGTAACAGATCTATTTAACAGTATAAAATCTGGTCACATGGTCTATTTTTTATATATTTTTGTTGAATAGTCAAAAAGTAAACATACATTTTTATCGGAAGAAATTGCAATGTGACTAATTATGTGTCAACCTTGATTATGCAGAGGATTAAAGCATGCAACAAATGATTATTTAACGATTTTAATCAGTGAAACGTTACAGATATGGTGGACCGACAGAGGATATCATCGTTATTTTGTAAATGCGCTTTGACAAAAACCATGCGAAGAGTATTTTAGATACGGAAGGATCAGATTTCACAGATCATAACCGTATAAAATGTAAGTGTTTTATTTCTAACTAAAACGCAGTTTATTTTATGTTTATGATTGGTAAATAAAAGCACTTGCCTAAAGGAAAAAAGAAAAAAACTTCTGTAGTAGGCCTACAGTACACGGTAATGACAGTTTAATTATTATTACTTTTGGTTTGATTTTGTTACAGTATATTTAGTTGACAATTTCAGATCATCACAGTATTTGGTCGGGTTAATAAAAATATGAAACATGGATTTGTTAGTAACAGTTAAAATATCATCCCTAACGCCTCTGGTAACAGTATTTTCCTGCGGGTGATATTTTTACTGTTACCCACAAACCCATGCAATATTTATATACTGCCAAGAGAACAACATGGTAAACTAATCGTAGTACTCGAGTCGTTAAAGCAAGTCCAAAAATACCTTAAGTTGAAACAAAGGTAAAAGCCATGAGCAATTGTGTACTAAAGCCATGAGCAATTGTGTACTTTTGAGCGAAAAAGCTATTTCTTATTGAGTTCAGTGTAAAATATTTGTCTTACAAAAACAAACTTATTTCTATTACCCTTATCAGCATGAAACAGGCCAATCCTTCCGAGAGGAAAACTAAATCTTTTCAAGTCTGAAACTATTTATCATTTCATACATACAGTTGGTTGTGATATAAACTCAGGTAATTGTCTCGTGTACAAATATGTGTACATCAATGGGTTAAATTTACTTCAATGGAAATAACCAATACCATTGATAAGATAATTTACTTACGATTAACAATTACATCTATAATTGTCTCTGTAACAAAATCATGGTTTCTATATTTTTCCGAGGTTGCCTCAGCTCTACATGTATATATTCCATGATTATTGCGATCAATATCATGAAATGTCAAACTGGAACTGCTTGCGCTTTGCCTAATCCATTTTACTGTTGGTGTTGGGTTTCCTGTGGCATTACACAGTATTGACAATGTCTGACCCTCGTTTCTTGTCACAGACTTCGTAATTATTCCATCTACCATAGTGTGGGTTATTGGATTATCTGTTATGATAAGAATACTGCTTTTTATTCCGAATGATATAATCTAATTCAAAATTATTTAACACTTGGTACAATACAGAAAATTATAAACATTTCAAACAGATTATCTGTGTAACACTGGATGTTAATTATGTATATTTATCCTTTTTACGGTAAACATTTGAGGGTGGCATTGAAAGATTTACAGAATTAATGCCTCTATTTTGATGTGATATTACATTTTGTCTTGATAGGTTTCAATAATGGCAGTGTTAAACATGCATGCAGACTTTGATCTACATAAAAAACACAGCTTAAGAACAGGTCGTTGCTACAAAGGTAACACAATGTCTGCAACAAGGTAAACAGTTTCCAAGAACTATCCACTGGATGAGCAAGTAGGAACCTAAGTCAAAAAGCAAGGATTTCTTAACATTATCTGTATATCTGACAAAAACAAGTTATTCTGCTGAATATAATGCTAATGCTAACAACTCTAATATGTTTCACTTTATAACCAAATTATGAAATATGTACAAAACTGTAGGAAACAGACATGACAATTGTACTGGTGGTTACTTACATTCCACTTCTAATTTTACAGGTGGAGACTTTATAGTTGATCCTTTGACCAGTGTAAAATAATTATCAAGCTGACAAGATACAGAAGAACCATCCATCTGTGACGTCATAGTTGGCAAATGTAGTTTTCTTGAATCACTGTTGTCAGGTGTGCCATATTGTTTATTCCATCTTGCTGTAGATGCTGGATTACCATAATCTTGAGAAGAGCAGTAAATGCTTTTTCCTGTCTGATTTTCTAGGAAAGGAAATTCTGATGTTGGTATAGATGGAGTAGCTGGAGGCCCTGAAGTAAATAACATGTTTGTACAAAGCAATTTATTTAAGTCATGAAAACTTATTAAAAACAAACAAAACACCCTTTTACATTATCAATATTCACTGCTTATAGTTGCACCACAAATAACATGATGTGTGTCTAATTTTTATTTCCCTTCACAAAGAGAAAAAAATGACTATTTAATTCTATAAAAAAAATCATTCTGCAAATAAATTTGAATAAACAAGGTAAAGTATATAAATATTACATGTGACCTGATAGGAAAAAAACATTTTATTAGCAATTATCAATGATAAAAAAATAGTATACATATAAAAGCATTAATGATTCAACAAATACATACAAAACACTGTTATAGTCTGTTGTGCACTGGGTCTATTGTCTTGTCCTGATACAACAGACTGACATGAAATAACTTTTCTGTCATCAGCTTTTCCAGGTGTAAATGATACAACACTTTTCACCGAGATAAGATTTCCTTGATTAATGTTTGTGTTTTGTATCTTTGTTAGACTAGATGAACCTTTCCACCATGTTACTGTGGCAGCTGGTCTTGTTGCTGATGTTATACATTCCATAGTAATGGGATCAGTCTCTAGCAATATCATACTTCCAGTTGTCTTGTTGGTTAGTGTAGGTGTTGTTGCATATACTATAAATAACAAAAACAATACAACTCTGTAACATTAACATAAAGATGTATATATCTTTTATATAATGAATTCAAATTTAAATTCATTTGGCATGAATTATATTAATCTGCAAGTTCATATTTGTTTGAAGATGTATTTGTTTAAAATTATTTTTTTTGAAATTTGTGTGATTAGTCTGAAAAATGTGCAAAAGAATGTGAAAAGAAGCAGTATACATATATATTTTAAATGAAAAATGTTAAAAGCTACAATCTTTTGTTAAAGATAAAAAACAAAAGGGCCATGATGATCCTACAAGTCTTAGCTGAATATAAATATTGCCCATTACAAGGGACAAGTAATATTGAAAGCTATTAATAAAGCAGAAATAAAACCTAAATCTTAAACCAATATTACAAAGTTCATTTTCGTGTCGGAAACAGTGCAAGTGTAAAACCTTAACTGGTTGCTATTACTAAGGGAAAACAATAGTTCTATTAGATGTCACTGTTTGCTACACAAATAAATAGATTTTCTGGAAGTCTGTGCCTGCTATGAATTTCAGTGGTAAATACAATCATTGTTATGGAAAGTTAAAGTTTGATGGTTGCAATGAACATTTACCGTTTGTTATGACAAGAGGGCCAAGATGGCCATAGATCGCTCACCTGACCAATCGAACTTATCCGAGCAATTACCAAGACAAACATCCTGACCATGTTTCAAGACAATTGAGTCAAAAATGTGACCACTAGAGTGTTAACAAGGTTTTCTTTCATATTTGGGCAGTGTGGCCTAGTTTTCAACCCAAGGTGACCCATATTCAAACCTGACATAGATATCATCAAAACAATCTTTCAGACCAACTGATGGGCTTTTTTTAATAAACTCGGTAGAAATCACTGGGAGATATCTCATGCCGAATTTCTTAGCTCTATCTTTTTAAAGATTTTCTTTGATTTTACTAAAAATTTTATGGAAAATCAATGACCCCGTAGGGCAAGACCAGATATGACACCATTGCTTTTATTTCAGAAAATTTGTGATACACCCACTAGAAGAGCCGTGCTAAATATCTCAGCTCTAACTCCTTGGACTTTTAAAGAAAATATTTTTGTTTTCATTTCTTTCTGCTGCCATGGTAACCAGAATCATGCATGTTATATATTACTTTGAATAATTCTAAAAGGTGACTACCCGAAGTACATTTCTGTAAAGTTTTGATGATATTGGCTGAGCGGTATTTTGGCAAAAACTGCAGAAAGGTTGTGGTCAGGGTTGCCAAAATATATTTGTAACTGGTTAATGCAAAATGTTTTTTCCTCGAAACAATGTACCTATGAAATGTTGATATGATTCTGCACTGAAAGTCCACAAAACATGAACTTTGCCTTATTGATCCATTCCAATTTAAATGTTTGAAAATGTGTAGAAGAAGTCAATTTCACAGAAAATATTAAAAAGAATGACAGTGACAAGAACACTGGCTAGAAGAATTCTACCCCAATGCGAGATTGATAGATATCATAAGACAATCAATTAAGGCATTCCTAAACTGTCAATGCAAAATAGCAGAATGTAAAATCATATGAAAGTTAAGACTGAAACAATGACTTGTATAAGAAATAATTAAATGATTGTTGGATGGTATCAGCACATTATTCCAGACGTGTACTTTTTCACTAGTTGATAAATGGAGAAAATTAATTCTTTTGACTATCGATGCATATTAAAACTGAAGTGATTCAGCAAACATTTGCCATAGAAAAGGTTCAAATAGCAAAACATAGATAAGTCTGACTGTAAATTAGTTTATTGTAAACATCAATGTAAATAATCTACTGATAATGTTTGGCCATTAGTTACCATTATGGTAACCCCCTGGACAGGGCTAATTTTGACCATAGGTTCATGGTTAATACACCTTTTGTCGAAGACTATAAACTATATATCGCTGATCTAATTATTAAGGCTTCAAGTAAATACTGTAAGCATGAAATGAAAAATAAAACAGACATAATATAATACGCTTAAATTGATATGATAATGTTCCTGAACCTAAAATATTGCAAATGTGATTAAGTTGTTCTTTTTTTTGTTCTTTCTAATATGCTGTCACTTAGTTTTTAATCAAAGAAGTCTTATATTGACACTAAAGCTAGAAATCCCGAAATCATCAACACAAAATTTTCTAAAATATTTTAAGGATATCTGAGAAGATCTATAGTGTTTATAAGGTTTTAATTTATTTAACCCCATATACCCTTATTTGTACGTGAGCTAGAATCATAAACAACCATTCTGACCAATTTAAATCAGCTTAAAAATTACTTTAAATTAGCTAAAAGAGTAATCCCTAGAGTGAAAACAAGGTTTTTCTACGTTTGGTCCGTGTGAACATTTTTTTTACCCAGGAAGACTAATGTTCAAAGCTTAGCAAAACTCATCAAAACAATCTTCATGACAAATTTACAGAATATTTGAGTGGAAAATATAACCTGTGGAATGTTAACAAAGTTTTTCCATATTTGGACTGTGTGACCTTGTAGCTGACCCCAGGTGACCCATATTCAAACTTGAGCTAAAAACTATCTTATCAACCTTTCTAACATATTTCAAGGATAGTTAACGAATCCTAATATTTAATAATTTTACGGTCAATGTCAATGACAGGTCAATGTCAAAACTAAATAAATCGTCAGAAGGTTTGTTTCGTCTAAGTATAGAATTGATCAAGTCCGTGCATAAATAACACAAACGCGATTACTGTTGCCTCATTTTGGTCATAACTTGACCAAAAAATAACCAACCTAAAACCTGTAAAAATGCACAAGAACTTGTAAATCCTGTTTCTTTGAAATATCAGTGGTATAATAGGAGAAGTTCGGACAAATCTAAAAACAATAAAGTCATTAAATGGCCATAACTCTGACGGAAATAAATAAAGCAAAACATATCAATGAGATGCACAACTGGTATTGATCATTCCTGTACTGTTTTGATCACATTGCACCAGTATTTTTGAGAAGAAATCAAGACAAGCTTCTATGTAGCTTGCATCACAAAAAACAACAAAAAAAACTTTTTATTCAAGAGCCATAATTCAAGCAAATAGCATTTGACCGGAAAACTAGATACCGAAAATAACAAGATAATTTCATTTATTTCACCTTGATAATCAAGGTCAATTAAGGTCAAGGTTCATCTAAAGTGTTCAACATGTTTGCATATGAAGCAAAACTTCTTTTGTCAAAGTATAAATCAAATACTTACAGTCAGTTCAACATTTAAGAATGTCTAATTAAACAGGTTAGTTTGTTCAAGTATAACGATAGACGACAATTCATTTATTTATCATCAAGTTTTAGTCAAACTAGCAAAAATCAGTGAAATTTTAATAAATTAACATGCAAGGTCATTGTCATAAATGAGCCAAGATCAATTTGAGTTTGATATACATGCAGGTTTTATCCTAAAAAAATAATGTGGGGTTTCTGTACGAAATTAATCCATTCATTAATAATAAAATTGCAGAAAGAATGACAATTTAAATATTTTGACCTTCAAGGCCAATGCCATTTATAGTAAAGGTCTAGGTTTTCTGATTTACTTGAAGGTCTATACAGACGATAATGGAGTTCAAGTAGTTACATAACCAAATAACAAAGTTATAGCCACTAATAGCAAAATCAGAACACATTAAGGAAAAGTAAGATATTTAACCTGGAAAGTCTAGTTCATTATTTAAAAAGTCGAGGTTATCTGGTATAATTGAATGTCTTGTACCAAGGGTTGATGTGGCCAAGTATGAAGATAATACACCAAGTGATGGTCAATGTACAAGTTTACGGACGGCAACGTCATCGGCAACGGCAGCGCGACAGGACTATAACACTATTTATTCTTTTTTTTCCTTTTTTAAAATCAAGCTTAAAATTGGCAAAAATACAAGCAATATTTCAATATATGACCTTGAAGACCAATGTCATTTATGAATGAAGGTCAAGTTTAGTCTTGTCTTTTTAAATGTCTTATTAGTATTTTCTACTTGTAAGTCAAGTATGAAGAATATACCTTGAACTGAAAAAGTAATGATGAACGTTAAAGTCTGCAGATGGCAACCACAATGGCTGTAGCAATACTTAAAAAAAGGTCGAATTAAAAATGGATCCTGAAAATATGTGATGTTTTTATGTACTTGACGACTACTCGCAAAATAAATAATGTCATTCGGGGGTAAATCATGCGGTAAATTACTAAAAATTATAATAATTTCTAAGACTAAACTGCTATTCAGAAAAATACTGTACCTTTAACATAAATTGATGATTTATAAGAAACAACAGCTTGACTCTCAGGTTGTGTGTTAAAGGCCTTACAATAGACCTGTTTGGTATGATCACTGTTCTGTGGGTTGAACGTGAAGGTGTTAGAGGTGGATCTTTGTTTCTCTGTTCCAATATACCATACTATTGTAGCTGCTGGTCTGCTTACACTTGTTTCACATGTCAGTGTTTTAGTTACACCACTTACAACTTGTAGTTGTCCAGAAACTGTACTTGGTCCATCTTTGAGTGTAGCACTTGACACTTGAACTGATGTAAACATAAATAAAAGGTTAAGCTGTTAGTTTAATTCTGTATTATGTGTTTTCAGGCCCCTCGCTTAAATGTTAAAAGCAATGCGAGAACACGTTTCTACTTTAAAAAGACACATAATCATAATTTACATAACATGTACTCATATCGGTAAAATATCTATTTTACCCCTTTGAAATCATCCCTTTATTATTTCTTAGACCTGTATTTAAATAAATCAATAAACAAAATTAGATTTAACAAAGTCAACTTACATTAAATCTTAAAAAAGTAAATAATCAATAAGATACAATTTGATGCACACTTTAATTGTTCCTTTTCCCCAATAGAAATAATGTAAACTTTGACAATTTGTTTTCAATCATGTCCTGTCAAATATTTCCTGTACCATTTTATTGAAAATAATACAAAACAAATTATTGTGTTATAAAAACCTTGCACATTTAGCGATGCTTTATATGAAGCAACAGCGTGACTCTCAGGCTGTGTGTTAAAGGCTTTACAGTAGACCTGTTCACTATGATCACTGTTCTGTGGGTTGAACGTTAAGGTTTTAGATGTAGATGTCTGTTTCGATTCTGTTCCAATATACCAGACTATTGTAGCTGCTGGTCTGCTTACACTTGTATCACATGTTAGTGTTTTACTTACACCACTTACAACTTGTAGTTGTCCAGATACTGTACTTGATCCATCTTTGAGTGTAGCACTTGATACTTTAACTGATGTTATAAAAAATGAACAGTTAATATTTTAACAGACAGTAAAACATCAACGACTACAAGCCCTGTGTTACATGCATGGAAGGAAAATTGTATTCTGTGTTATTTCTTTGTTTTTTATTGTGGTATTTCTCAGTTTTCTTGTTTGTTTTTTGTCCTTTTTTGTGCGATCAAAAACGTAATTTTACAATTGATGACAATATACACTGAACCAAATTTCAAAATGGTCACCCATTAAATTGCAATGTTTTTGAAACACTTCATTTTTCTTTTAATACTCGACTTGTTTTTACCTAAATCTTCCATCATATTCTTAAAAAAACTTATGTGTTTCCAACCTACAGATTAATACTGATGTTTTGATAAAAATCATTCGTGCATTAATTACCAAAGTAACAAATAGAATGCCAGTCACATGCAGCACGATGAACTTATTATTGTATTAAATATGGAAAGAAAATACCGTGTCACTTATGCTCATTGTAAACTCAAGATATTTCATGTCTTTTTCAATTATATATAGTGAATAGTAGAAGTAATAGTATATATAGTGTATAGCATATAGTGAATTTGATTTTTTACAAGGTCTCGAAATATGTCGCAGATCCAAGATTGTAAAAAAGCCTGTAATATATCTACACATGTCCAGATCGATTTTGCAAATGACAAATGTAATTTGCTTTACCTTATTTGCAGATTTGGCTATAAAGTGGTCGGACCCATGTTGCTTTTGAAATGCAGCAAGTAGAAACGATCACAAGAACATAAACTTTCGACATTAGATGTCACATGCATGGAATGGTTTTACAATCTTTATCCGTTATTAACTAAAATGTTAGATGTACTGTTTAAAAATGAGCTCAATTAAACTACAGCTACAACATTTTGCCGTTTTTCGTAATTCTAAAAGAGTTCATTTTTTTAATTATGTGGACATGTTACCTAATTACAGTTTACAAAATCTTTATAACTTTGTGAATATTGAATAAGTGTATGGCTGTTGTTGAAACAAAATAACATTTTACGTTTTTGAAATACAGTGATTGAGTTTGCTTACATCATCATTATTCTGTTATTTACTAGATCCACTTCGGAAATTGTGTTTAAAAGTTTAATGTGACCACATAGATACAATTTTAAAACTTTAAAGTGTCTATAAATGTGTAATACTTCACAGTACTGTTTGAGAAGACAATTGACTGTTATTCTATTTCTTTTATCAAAATAAATTGAATTCATTTAAATATTTACAATATTCATATATAGTAAAATATACTCGGACAACGAGTGCACTGATATGTTCACAATGGGCACACAAAATTAAGAAATAATCAATAGTTTTTACGTAAGTAATGTTCCAAAGATTTATAATTAGGGAATTCAAAATGATTTAAAATTGTCCAAATATGAAGACCTAATGGAAAACTACGTTCGCAAAAACATGAATAGATGGATGCCGGATTTCAAGTATTTTTGACTTCTAATTTCAGTTAAAGCAATATGAACAAATCCCTCTCTCTTTGATAACCACACAGAGTACACATTTACTACAACATCAGTCTATATGACACTGACCATACATTTGATAGACATTGGAATTAGAACCATTGAATTAAACCTATTTAAGCTTATTTAAATAGATATAACCAAATACAAAAGTTAAACTTCATTGTTTAATATGTGTTATCGAACTGTACCATGTTTTAATAATAAAAAGAATGAAACAGGCAAGAAATCCCACAAAAACAAAATTTTCTAGAACATTTTATTATCATCTATATAATTATATATATTAAGGATATTATACATTTGACTGTACAATAAAGATATATATTTGGACAAGTACACAGCTTGAAAAGTAATATTGGATAATAATATGTCTGATTTTTTATGGTATCAACATTATTATTTATTTATCACAAACTTTCTATTATAGACCAATTCACTTTAACAGGTGTATTTTGTATTCAAATGTTATAGAATAGGAAGATTCAAAAGTTAATTTATGTATTCCGTGATCTTGAGTCTGTAACATTTCATGTACATTTTGTAATATTAAGACGAAAATAATATAAATTATAGCCGTTTGAGCAAGCGCATTAAAAGGTATATCGCGTTTTTGATGAAATAACCACAAAGCTATATTGCAAACTTACCAGCAAATTGAATGTCAGTAGAATAACTTGCATACAGTGGTTGTGACATTCCAGTAAATGACTGAATACTACATTTAAACTTGACAGTTTTCTGTATGTTACCAGGGAATGTTGTATATCTTGGAAGAGATAAAGTGGAGGAATATTTTCTCTCAGAGTCAGAACATCCTGTTGTAGTATCTGAAGCTGATCCTGATGATGACCAAGCCTGATGTGAATCTTTTCCTGACTGAAAATATTATTTGAATTACATTTGGCTCTGGGTAGAAAATATCATTTGTTTCAAAACCATTTAAAATTCTTTTGCTGCAGAGGAATAAAACCACCAGAACTATTTTGAAGGCAACATTTCTTCTAAAATATGTAATTTTTCTATTTCAAACTCCAAATATTTATAGAGAATTCGAAATTATCAAAGAAAATGATGAATAAGGTGAGCGTTAATTTGCATTTTAATGAACGTAACTTCGACCAGTTTATGTGACGCATTATTTCTTTTATAAAATCTTTTTTTTATTCCGGAAAGTCCTTAATAGATTTTCCCTTAAATTTATGTTTCATACGAACTTTTGGGGAACGTTTCCCGCAAAAATACCGTTTTAAATATAAAAAAAAAGTGTGTAAGAAAACCCATTTTTTTCCCAAATAAATAGGGTTTTAAAAAAACATTAAATAAATTAATTTCTTTTTTTTAAAAGAGGGGTCATAATTTATTTAAATAAAAAAAGGGTTTTAATAGTGAAGGTTTTTGGTATGTTATTGTTTTTACGCCCAAGTTTTTAATTGGTATAATAATTCAGTCAGAATTCATGCCTTCGTTATAAAATTAAATATTAGCCCATAACCTTCAATATTGATCTGAAAAACAAAGGTGAATTGTACATAAAAGTGTGATGTTTGTCTTCATAACCAACTGGGGAAAGGATAATATATAATTAACAAACGTTCCAAATTTAAAGATTATATTAGACATTGTCTATTTAACATTTCTGTAAAAAATAAAAGGCATATTATGCAAAGATGAAAATGAAATGAGCAAATGATGAACAAGCACAAAATTTGACTCGTGTCAACAAATTGAACATTAAATGCCTATGTTGAATATGTAACAAAATGAAATAATAAAACATGACAGAAAAGAAATACATGAATTTAGTGTATAGAAAACCAAAGCCCTAATTGGACGTTACCACAACCTCTTGAGAATAACCACAACCATAATTATGATGGGTCTAGCGTGTTAAGTAATTGGCTGGACACAAAATTTCTGTTACAAAAGAAATAAGATGATGATAATAAAAAAGTTGTTATATTTTAAAAGGTCAATCAGGAATCGTTTTAACTTTTAAGCTCAACTTTTTTTCCCAAAAAAAATATATAAAATAAAGTAAATGTATTGTTACAGTCATGGCGGCGTTCCCGTTGCTGTCCGCAAACTTTATCCTTGATCAGAACTTTTTAATTTATATGACTTTGTGTATTGTCTTCGTACTTGACCACGACAACTATTGGGACGAGACTTTCACCCTTGTGACCACTCCGGGTTTTTGTTTGGTGCCTTCTGGGTGCCATGCTTGGGTGTGTCGGGGGCCGCGTCCTGTGAACGTTGCCTTTGCCTTGTTGATCTTTATTCTTGTTTTTTACAAGAAGACCAGACTCACATTGACTTTTAATCATGAATAACATTGACTGTCTTGACCTTCAAGGTCAAATGTCTAAATTTTAGGCGGTTATGCTATAAGTGGCTATAACTTTGTTATTTTTGAATGGATTGTCTTCACACGTTAACACATTAATTTATTAGGATAGACCTTTACTTAGCTAGACACACCTTGATGTCATGAAAATGACCTTAAAGGTCATTTTTTTAATATAACATAAGTAACAAAATAATGACAAGTTAACCAAAATTCAATAATTAGACCATGGTGGCCAAATTCCGTATCACACTCAGTATACAATATATCACTCACACTGTGACTGATACAGTTTGTCGAACAATTTTTGACGTTCTTTATTTTTCTGTAAATTTATTAATTTTCAAAAGAGTTAACTTTCTGTGTTAATTTCTTTATATCATATTTTTTTCTCTGAAACTATAAAAAGGCACTGTTCAAAAACGACTTCTAACTCCATGGTAACACAACCTACATTTTTCACTTTAGAACTTAGAAGGACCGAAAGTGTGTGTAAATATGCAAGAAATTCACTGTTGACACGGCTATCGTAACAATTTTTCCGGGACACGCTACATGGATCAAAATCATGTGAACTCCGGAAAAAAAAGAAGTAAACATTGTAGTATTTTCTCTTCCGATCGTATGTTCAAAGCCGAAAATGTTAAATGAAAAAATATGCATAATCGTAATTCTTTCTTTTATAGAAAACTCACATAAAGCATGAAATTGATTCGTTGTCAATAAAATATGTTGTGTCCAATATTGAACGTTTTCCAATTTAGGGGAGTAAAAAGAATCAATCTATATTTAGACACTGTGTTAATGACTGAATTCAAGATATTGATGTTCCAATTATTATCTTAGTTAGACCATTTTCCGTCATTCCATATATTTTTCAGAGCAAATATTCAATTAAAGTTATTATTTTATTTTTCAGATATTTTTAAGAATTAAAACGTTAAAGTCTATTAATACCGGCGCTTACTTCAGTTGATCAGCTAATCTGATTTCCTAGGCTATTATGGTTCGCAAAAGACCTCTGACATAATAAGGCGACATTTGGAACTTTTTCAGTCACATGATTTCGCTTTTTGTTTCTTTATATCATGTCCGCTGTAAAATTTCAAAATTTTGTCATTTTTCATTGTTTTACAATAATTTGACCATAGGTAAATTAAAATAAGAAGGCAATGATGTCCCTTAATAGCTCATCTAAGTAGATGATTCAAATGAACAAGGTTGCATTATTGATAGAAACATATAATTTACACATTTCAGTGCCAGGGGTTGTGTAATTAAAAACATGAATTCGTTGAATGATATTTTTCTGTCATGTAATTAACTCTACACAAAGTATATTATACAGTGAACGATGACTAGAACATTTTAAAGAAAATATTTTAGCTTGTGATCAGAAGGCCGGACCCAATTGAGCATTTTTTGTATAGAGAACCATTCAACTATCATTTCTGTGTAGTTTCATTAAAATCTACCCAATTGTTATGGATGAGATGTTGTTTTAAGGATTTTCTATTTTAAGCTCCGGCAGCAATATTGTTCAGCAGAACCGTTTGAGCATTGTATCTAAGAAAACAATTGAAGGATCAATCCTGTATAGACCATTTTATTTAAGACCGGATTCAAGTTGTCGCCATTGGATGACGTCATTTGGGAATACGGTGGTAATTGCCGATACGATTAAGTACATTAATAATAAAGTGATACAAAGATCTTTATCCTTATTCTTGTAAGATGGGCACATTGAAATTGCCAAAAATAAGTGTAATTGAATAAGACATTACATAAAAACGGATGGTCAAATGAATAAATATATTTTTACTATAATAAGATTAACGACTTTATTCAATACTAGATCATGGTTAGGTTAAAGATCATGGTTACTATTATCGTTTGATTATAAATAATGAAAATTGTCGCACCGGGTTATACCAGGCAGTTCAATTGTACTAACTTGCTACCAAGAGCTATTTTGAGTTTCAAAAATGTTTACTAAGTGTTCTGTAGTTTCGAAAAACGGCTCCGTAATAATAAATTGTGAGATACACATTGAATAAATATTTATTTAATTTAAGCATTAATGAAACAAAGAAAAAACAATAATATACATCCATGTAATTTCAAAGTAAATGTTACTATTCTTTTGAAAGTACATGTATACTTTGTTTGCGTTGGCACTCTAAAAAATTGTATATTACGCCAATTGAATGCACTGCATATTTTATGAAAGTTGGTAAAGTGATAGTTTCAGCTTGATATTTTATGTTATCTATATTCTGCTTATCAAATTTTTTTTAAATCACTTATATAAACAAGTGGTGATAAATGTACACAGAAATTCATTATTAACTGAATTATAATTTAACATATTTAACTACTAAATTAAAGCCAGTTGGTAGTCATTCTGGAGCATCAAATTGGTAAGACATGACCTCTAAAGTCCCATAACCGAATTTTGATCATAAATGTGTTGACAACTAACAAAAGTAATGTAATGTTATAACTCTTAAATGTGCACCGTGGTGACTTATGATAATACGAGTACAGCCAAGTGCATCTTGTATATATATAAAATATGCATTATGCACCGTGTTGATTAATGCCTTACGGCCTAGATACAAATCTATTTATTTTTGAAATGTGTAACTGGGAAAAGATCTCTTATTTATAATCATACTATATTTGTAATATCAAACTTGTCCTTATTCTCTTCTGTTATCTTAAGTTATAAAAGTCACAGCCAGATTGTTTTGTTCTGTCAGGATTGTTTATAAAATTATATCCTTCTCTGGTTCTTTGAAAGATTTTAATATCATGGCATAATGAAAAAAATCTATAAGTCTTGACAGAATGCACTATGCTATTGTTAGAAAGCTTGTAAAACGATCATTAAAAAACAATGACAGTCTTATTTTCATGTGTGCCACAAAAAAAACGCCGGAATTTTCTAAATGACAGAAAATCACACAGAAAACTAGATACTGACCATTTAGATTTATATTAGGTAATGTCAGTGTGTATTGGTGTTTATAAAAAAATTAATATAAACATTTTATTTAGTTACTAGATTTTTTCCCTGGTATTAGAGAAAATCTAATAGAAACATTCATTTTGAACACGGACTTTAATTGACATAAATCCGTGCTTTTAAATTCCGCTGTTTTAGTCCCAGTAGCAATAATTAATCTTACTTGTTTTATTATCATTACATGTATTATCATCTTGTTATGGAATTTATGTATGCCTCAGTCAATTTTTTCATTTTATAATCATAATTGAACAATCAGTGTGAACGCATTTAACTTTCACTAAGCCAACGTTCTACGCGGTCTGTATAGTATAATCCCCCATTTACGTCACGTCACATCCAGTAAGGGAAGTAACTCTTTCTCGATGCTTAAGGTTTTTAATGTTATCCGATAGTTAAATAGATGTGGTTAAAACGTTTTCAATATTTTAGCTCTGGCAATCATTTTATTCAGCACATCGATATATTTTAGCACTTTAAGTAAAAGGCTTCCAGATTATCGTTTAAATTCAATTTTACGTTTCAAGATTTACACAAATAATTAAGGAGTGGATCTAAGGGTTTATCCTATTTCTAGCCCTGGCGGTCATTTTCGTCAGACAACAGGAACAAGTTAAGCGATTTTAGTAAAGGCATGCCTTATGATCATTTCTTAAGATTTACATCAACATCTATGGGGCAGTTGAAGACAAGATGTCATTTAACACATTTCTCCATTTTTAGCAGCGGCTGTCATCTTGTTCGACAAACAGGAAATCATTTAAGCAATTTTAATAAAGCCCACCTTAAGACTATTTCTGTATCGTTTCTTCAAAATCAACCCTTCTTGGAGATGTCGTTTAAGATTTTTTTTTTACTTTTTTAGCTCTGGCGGCTCAGTAGCTCAAAACTAGCTAAAATAAGTCACTAAACTTTCCGCTAATTATAGTGAAATGAATTCCGCTTGATGAGGTAGTCAAAATGTGCGAAAAACACATTTACTTTTTTAAGGATCTTAACATTGATGAACTCATTACAGAAACAATACCAAAGGCGATAATTCATTTGTTTTACAATATTATCCTGTTTTGTACACTTATCGGAATCTCTTGATAGACAAAATAACATAAATGTTACTTCAGGTTATCTTCTGATGATTTTGTATATTCTTTTCATTTAATAAGTTTTATAACCATTCCGTATAACTTCAACAGCCTCAAAAGTGATCCTGGAAAGTGCATTCAATAGTGACAACAGTAACAATATTTTGTGCTAGAGAAAAAAAAAACACTTCTTACCTCAGAATAATACCATGTTAATGTTGCCTGTGGATAGGAACACCCTGTACTACATTTTAGTTGTACTGCATTTTGTGCTAGATCTTGATCTTGTGTTGGTGGATTTTCATATTGGAGTGATGTTGGCACAGCTGTAATATGAAACACTCAGTTATATATATTTTGTTTGAACTTAAAATACGTAATACTCTTATTAATTGTATTTTACAAAAACAAACGAACATGATTTTAATAATTTTAAAGAAAGGATTATAATTGTTAATCATAACCTTTTTGATGTAAACGGATAAAAATGATTTAAAATCAACATTCATGTAGAAGCGAATATTGTTGGCAGAAAAAAAAACTAAAGCGTTTCTGACACAAACACAAAAAAAAATTATACGTAATCTTTGAATATCGATATTTAATTTCTTTGAAATATAAACCATAATTGTGGCACCAAGTGGTGTATCTTGTCTCTGATGGTCAGGTAAGATTGTAACACAATGTGTTATAAACAATAAATTGAATAGCAGAAACAAATTATAAATACCTTTATCAGTCGCTAACATATCCTATATCAGATCTGCAGCTCAGATATACTCTTGATAGAAATAATGGGTTACATTTGACGAATAAAGGTATAAGATACATACTTATGACATCCAGCAACAAGTCCTTCCTTTCTTGATTTATAACGGCAAATGTCCACCATTTATGATCTTTTGATCTGTCAAAACCGGATATGTTCATGAAAACATTGCTGTCGTCAGCACTGAATGTAAATCTACCAATAGACTGCAATAGTTGTTGTCAAACAGACTTGTGGAATACATGCAGTCAGCAAGGTGATACCAACAAGGAATGACGAAAGTCGAATATCACTCTTATAAATACCTACCAAATTAGAATAACCAAACCCTGATATCTCACACACAAGCTGTATATTACTTCCTTTTAATGGCGGTTTGTTGTCACGTATGTATATTATCTCAACAGTACCTATATAATAATAATACACTCTTGATAAAAATAATTACAAAGAAAAAGTATACATACTTATGACATTCAGCAGCATGTCTTTTCTCTGATTAATAATGGCACATGTCCACCATTTCTGATCCTCTGATCTGTTTACACTGGATATGTTAATGTAGACATTACTGTTGTCAGCACTGAATGTATATCTACCAATACCTCCTGTCAGACATAGAGATTGCAAACACCGAGCCATTGACGTGACGTCAGAAAGTGATGATGGAAGTTTAGAGCTACTTTTGTAGACTTGTAGAATATCACTACTACTAAACTGTGATATCTCACATACAAGCTGTATGTTACTTCCTTTTAATGCTGGTTTGTTGCCATGTATGTATATTCTCTCAATAGTACCTATAATTATGATAATTATGATTACAATGATAAAATGATAATACTAAGTAGCAGCTGTAATAAATCATTCTCCAGGAACAGTTTGTCTGTTCATTAGTTGCAAATAAAAAGCAAAGTGAATCGAGTATTATCTTCGATAAAAATTAAAATGGAAATTAATTGAAATGATATTCCCTTCAGTATTATATAAATCAGTTGAAGCCTTTTAGTATTATGAAGTACATAGGAGTGCAAATAAATTTGATATGTTTCCTTGAAAAAGAATATTATATTATGATACAATAATTACTGAAGTGTCATTGAGTTTTAAAGGATTACAATCTTAATGGGCACCAATATTACTCAGCTTTTCGTTACTCCTAAACCTTTCTGTTAGACATTGTTTTTCAAATATTTGGAAACAAATTTGTAAACTTTTTTGTCATTGTTAAATTTTTTAACACAGCTCCCCCTGTTATCATTGTAGCTTGTAGCGAGTGGATAAATTAATAGATTGCTACAAAAAACAATCTTAATATTATTGATAGCTTAAAGGCAAATAAAGGTAATTTTCTTGGGATACAAATTCGTATTAGTTTGAAATATTCATGAATATGATTTCCTTGGGGTTTCTGAACCATATAATTGGAAAATAACTTCATAAATCATCATTTAATTTATTTTCAAAAAAACATTTAAAATTTACATTTTTTCAAAAAATTTTTTTGACCAAATATTACTCTAAAGCTTTACCTATCCTTAATCTCTTTACATTTACATATTAACAGCCTATTATTTATTTTCAAACATACAACACATCCATAAAAAATCGAAATTAATTATTTGCCTTATAAATATTGTATCTTGAGTACCAGATATACTAGACTTCTGTGAACTAGTCACTTTAAACTTTAGCTTCTACGATTCAACTCATAATACTTCTAATCTCGTTGGCCCGAGAGTTCTTACATTTCAGTACCAGATACCTGTTTTCTGTGTACAAGAAACTGTAACAATCATTATGATCCGACTCTTACAAGGACAAATTAGTAATCAAGCACGCTTAAAATCAATGTTTCTCTTAAAACTAAAAAAACTTCAACTACAAGCTTTGCCCAGAGGTTAAACAGTAAGATACGATGGTCTATTTACAGTACGGCTATAAGATGACTAAGTGCGACAGTACGACGGTACGATGGTGACAATTAGGCAGTTAAGGCCTCAACAGACGGTAGGATTTAGTTGTACAACACTAATTAGAGATAAGATTTCACTTTTCAAAGCAATACAACACTTGCATTCAGCATTGTAGTAAACATCTGAGGATTTCTTAAAAAAGTTCCCTCCCAATTGATCCTTTACATACTTAACTCACTAAAAAAATTGCTACATGAGTAATGATTGAAACACCTCCATTTTTTTTAATGTGCAGCCTGACCGAGACTCAAACCTGGGACCCTCGGAATACAAACTACCTCCCCTGAATAGAGAACAGTTCAATACCGTGATATTATCATTTTCGGAATAAATTGGGATCCGAACATAACACAACTTTGCGTCTCCTGACGGACGAGTTTTCAACATCATATTTACCCCCAGCTTACTACTATGTTTACCTTTTAGCACTAATTGTTCTGGAATTTCATTCATTACGCCCATTATCTGGAGATAATTTGGCATTCTGTTACTTGATATATTGAGTAGAATATTTAAATATGTTATTTTGCTAAATGAAACAAGATAAAGATATTATTTAAAAATGAAATAAACGTTGTTGAAGTATAGTTTTCTCATTTGCCAATATGCATTTATGTTGTAATGATGTTTACAAATAAAAACAAACAAATAACTCGAAAATTCCCAATTTGAATTTAATGATATTTCCTGGTTCCTTACAGCAGCCAAAACAATGTTGGTTTAGGATCGCAACGACGGTAATGTCAAGATTTGGTTTTGAAATTATTAAATTCTTATTGATATCCAGGACAATACTCCTTACACTTGATGCAGTATTGGACTTGCTTCGAAATCCTTTGACTTGAATCGCTCCTTGGACTCGATGCACATATTTGACTTGCTAAACTTCTTTGACTAGCTGCAGTATAAGACATGCTTCGGTTTTCAGATTCGCTGTACTCCTTAGACTTCATACGCTCCTAAGACTTGCTGCACGCCTTACACTTACCTCTCTCATTTAACGTGTTGCTCCTTAGATTTTTTCTTCCTGAAATTATTATCAGGACCGACTTTATCCCTCATGTACAGACTCAATCAAACCGAGTCTTCAATTCTTATGTTATTTTGTTGTGATTAATGCTTCCGAGGGATCACTTTGTTTCCAGAATTTTGTACTTCACAACAGCAGGTGTCAAGTGCCGTGTGGCAGCCGTAAAAAGTTCCCCCGTACTTCACTTCAGTGTTGTTATATTTTCTGGTCCTTCGGGATCATTGATGCCATCACTATAAAGTGTTGAGAATTGAGTACCGCTCAAGCCGGTGCTAGGGGGCGTGAGGGATATTGCATTTATTCATTATCCCTCATGTACAGACTCAATCAAACCGAGTCTGCAATTCTTATGTTATTTTTTTGTGATTAATGCTTCCGAGGGATCACTTTGTTTCCAGAATTTTTTAGTCACTGATTTAAGCAGAATTCAACATGGAATGGTAGCCTTTTGAATTTTGAAACATCCGCAGATGTGTCCATCATGGAACCATATCAATGTTACACGTTCGTGCCATTCCATGAAAGGCGGGCATGGTACCCAAGTAAAATAATGCGTGTATCCTAAACCAAAAAAAACAATGGGCAGAACTAAATGAAATAGACTTTTGAAAGGGGATCAAAGGTTATGAAGCATACACACATCACAGAAAAGCCGCCAAAAGACAATTTTAAAAAGCAGGCCACATTTCTTCCACCTTGAAAGAAATTAAAGTGGATACAGGGACTGAAGTCCACGCATAGCCCCATATAGATAAGAATTTAGTAGACCTATTTGTAACTTGTACTTTCAGTGAAATACTTCTATAATTCAAGTGATGGAAAATAAGTAATATTACCACTACATTTGTATAAACAAATAAATACAAGCACAAAATAGTTTCAAAACTTTTATAATGACTATTGCAAAATCAAATAATTCAAGGTAAAATATTATTTAAAATGCAAGAAACCTTTTTGTTATTATAGAGAAGTATTATTTTCCAATTGCTAATATGCATTTATGTTGTCATGATGTTACTTATTGTTAATTATATTGGAAAAAACTATTTTCGTGTCAAACGGAATCCGTTGAAAAAACTTCAAAAAAAAAAAAATAAAACAAATTACTCGAAAATTCCCAATTTGAAATAATTGATATTTGCCAATAATTCCTGGTTCCTTACAGCAGCAAAAAAAAAACAGTGTTTGTTTTGGAACACAACAATGGTAATTTCAAGATTTGGTTTTGAAGTTATAAGATTTTTATTGATATTCAACACAATACTTTTGACTTTAGAATTGCTGCAATTTCGTCTTGCGGAGCTCCTTAGACTTGCTGCAGTTTTGGACTTGCTACGCTCCTTAAACTTGATTCGCTCCTTGGGCGTGCTGCAGTATAAAATTTGCTGCCCTCATTTGACTAGACATGCTGCGGTCTTTAGATTCGCTGCACTCCTTGGACTTCTTACGCTCCTTAGACTTGCTGCACTCCTTACACTTGCTTCCCTCATTGGACGTGGGAAACGGACTCTCCAAAAGACTTGCTTTTGCGTCTTCTCTGGGAAGCGGATACCTGAAGGGATTTTAAGGGTGACCTCTCAAAGACTTGCTTCTTTTCTGGGAAGCGGGTCGTTGCTAATACTCAAATCTTAACTAGAAAGCAGACGGTTTTCTAGATTTGCTTTATCATTTTAGTTATTTCACTTGACCAGTGAGTTGCTTACTGAACAATTCATAATGTAGAAATTTTTCAAAATTCTATCATAGCCCCAAGTAAATCAGCTTTTGAAAACCACAACATTTAATGGAGTGAAGGTGCTGCATATAAAGGCTTGTTTATTTCATTTTTCACATTAATTTTCAATTCTCTAAAACTTCAACACAAAATCTATCCATGCAAGGTAATAAATCAAGCTGCGGCATGGCCGAGTGGTTAACGCATCGGACTAGTAATCTTATAATCGCTAGATGCATGGGATCAAACCCAGTCAGGGGCAAGTCGTTGTTTCCTTGGGCAAAAAAGTTTACACTCATTGCTCAGTACTGGTTGGTTCCAGGAACAGATTCAAAAATGTGTCTATAAGCTTATAGCTTCCTACACAATCGAACTAAAATAAATTCTGTATAAACGAAATCATAGTTCTAAAGCTAGAACTGAATCTAAAGCAGGTGGAGATTGTGAGCGGAACATGGACCGTAGACGGTGTAATAATAATAAAAGACAAGTCTGACAACAAAGCCCGCATCGAAACAAAGAAAAGACTTAGACTCTTTTCTGTCAAAGTTATAATGTTGACGGCTTAACGTATAAAATATAGTATGTCACGTTGTGTCTGTTTTGTTTTGATCACCCTGTGTGTTTGTAATACCGATCATTTAACGGTTGAGTTGTTTACATTTTTATAACAGTAAGTCAAAGATTTCACAAACTGACCGTTACGAATATACCAGCTTATTATTTTCTTTCGATTAAAGAAGGCCTTAGAATCCTTAATACGAATTCGGCTTCAACTTGATTATAAACTATTTTTCTCTCGTAATTCTATATACGTGTAGTTTTATTTTTAAGATATGTTTTCTTCATACAGTGAATATTTCATTTAATAAAATGTCACGGGAAATATAATAACAATAACTTTAAAACATATTTCAAATAAAAACGATGTTTATTCAGTACAAATATTGATTGTATAATTATAATAGACGGTACGCTGACGAAAATAAGGGACACAACCAATTGCTTACTCTATATTTTTGTTATTTGGATTGATTCCGTTGACTTAGTTCAACTACTGTAATTGTCCTGTTTATGAGG